AATAGATAAGCCTTTCCTTAACTTTTACAATAATGGACTAATACAATATTTGTCCTTTTGTGATTGACTTACTTCACTCAGCGTAATATCCTCCAAGTTCATCCACGTTATGCAGTGTTTTGCAGATTCTACATTATTCTTTAGCATTGCATAGTATTCCATTGTGTGTATGTACCATAGTTTGGTTTTCCATTCCTCAGTTGATAGACACCTAGGTTGTTTCCATCTTCTGGCTACTGTAAATAGTGCTGCAATGAACATGGGTGTGCATATATTTGTTCTTGTCATGACTCTCACCTCTTTAGGGTATATACCTAGGAATAGAATGACTGGGTCAAATGGTATGAAAGAGGTCTTTTGCAGTAGATCTGCCCAGTGCAATACATCGTCTGATGTCTTGACTGCGTTGATTGTGGAACCAAGTTATATGAAATCTTTAACACCTTCAATCTTTTCTCCATTTATTGTGATGCTACTTATTGGTCCACTTGTGAGGATTTTTCTTTTCTTTTTGTTGAGATGTAACTCATACTGCAGACTAAAGTCTTTAATCTTCATCAGTAAGTGCTTCAAGTCATGCTCACTTCAGCAAGCAAAGTTGTGTCATCTGCATATCACAGGCTGTTAATGAATCTTCCTCCAATCTTGATGCCACATTCTTCTTCATATAATCTAGCTTCTCGCACTATTTGTTCAGCACACAGATTGAAAAAGTATGGTGAAAGGATACAATCCTGACATACTCCCTTCCTGATTTTAAACCATGCAGTATCCCCTTGTTCTGTCCAAACAACAGCCTTCTGGTGGTTTATGCATAGGCTCCTGATAAGCACAATCAAGTGTTCTGGAATTCCCATTCTTCTCAATGTTATCCATAATTTGTTATGATCCACACAATTGAATGCTTTTGCATAGTCAATAAAACACAAGTAAATATCTTTCTGGTATTTGCTTTCAGCTAAGATCCATCTGACATTAGCAATGATATCCCTCGTTCCACATCCTCTTT